CTGGAAAGCAGAGTGATGGATTCAACCTGACTTCCAACACTGCTGTTCTGAGAAAAAGGCAGAAAAGACCAACTAAATGGAACTATAAATCTCCTTGATCTCAAGTTTTAAAGGAGATAAGCCATGAAATAAACTAGTAAGAGACAGAAAGAATAATGGAATTATGAAGCCCAAACCAAAGGTATTGAGATTTATTAATCACTTCCACTTGCCTCTTAGTGTGATGATGAGATTTTATTTCATGCTCAGTGAAGGGAGAAATCACCCAAACTTTGAAAAGGGAAATTAAAAGTGTTTCATAAACACAAAAATTGCTGCCATTTCCAGATGTCTTCTCAGAAAATGATTTCAAAATCAAAGAAAAGCCTCTTGGTCTTTCAGTTGGGATGACTTGTGCCACCGCCTAGGATCTGTCTAAGGACATCGGCAAACGGAACACCCAACCAATCAGTACAACCATAGACACCAGGGCCGAGACACTAAAGCACAAGACTCGTTGTGGTCACTGGTGTGGCAGGGCTGCCCTGACAAAATTCTCTAACTGGATGGCTTAAATAACAGAAATCCACTTTCTCACAGTTCTGGAAGGTCTAAATGGCACTGTCTCCTCTGTGGCACTCCTCTTGGTCTGCAGGTAGCTGTCCAGAGTGCATCTCCTCTTGGTGCATGTGTGTCCTGGTGTCTCTTGGTGTGCCCACATTTTCTTTCCCCAGAAAGGCACAAGTCGGATGGATCTGGACCATTGAGTAGCCTTCTTTGAACTTAATTACCTGTCCCGCCCTGACTCTGAATATAGCTGTATTCTGAGATGCCGGTGTTAAGGGCTTGTGTTACTTTTCCACCATGGCGACTAAATACCCTGACAGAACCAGCTTAGGGAGAAAAGCTTTTGGTGTATGTTTCAGCTCCTCAAGGTTGGGAGGCACAGTGCGGGGAACAGCTCGGCCAGTGTCGGCAAAAGCCTGAGGTGAGGGCTGTTCTCACGGGCCAGGCCTGGAAATGGAGAGAGTCAGGCTGGAGCCAGAGGTGGGGATAACCTTCGAAGGCTTGCTCCTGGGGACCTACATCCACCAGCCAGGCCCTGTCTCCAAAGGCTCCACGGCCTTTAGAATAGTGTCACAAGCTGGGGACCCTGCATCCAAAACATTAACCTACAGAGACATTTCAAATCCAAACTGTAACAGGCTGTAGCTCATGAATTCTGGAGGGACATGATTCAGGCCACAACAAAACACTGACTCATTTAAGCATTTTATGAATGAGAGCCAGACTCTGAGAGAACACTGAATTCATCACATACCACAGTCGGGAAGGTATGGAAATGAAGTTTTATCAGAGGTCTCACTGGTGCTAGAGCCAACGGACTGTCCGCTAGTTACACTTGCTCAAAGGGAGACATATCTAGTTGGGAAGACCCTGCACTGGTGGAGGAAAGCTTGAAAGAGAGCTGGGGAAACAGAAGTCTTTAGTCACTAGGCCATGTCATGTGGAAAGAACGGATTCAGGGTGAATAACTGTTCACACTACACTTACTCAATATTAATCTGGGATTCCCCCAATAAAAACCATCTATTGGCTCCCTCATATGAGGACCTTCTAACTAGAAAGTAGGAACTGTCTTGGTATTTCCTGGTCCAAAGCCTACAAATAATCCTAAATCAATGACAAAGACAATACAGTGCTTGAGATAATTATCAGAGATAGGATTTCCATTATGGCTCTATATAGGAATGCATGCATGAAATCTCTCATCTTTTCTGTAATTTTTTTTTCCCATTTTTCGAGACAGGGTTTTTCTGTGTAGTTTTGGTGCCTGTCCTGGATCTTGCTCTATAGACCAGGCTGGCCTCGAACTCACAGAGATCCACCTGGCTTTGCCTCCCAAGTGCTGGGATTAAAGGCATGCACCACCGCCGCAAGCTTCTAAATGTTTTCTTTTCTTTTTCTTTTTTTATTCTGTTTTTTGAGACAGGGTTTCTCTATGTAGCCCTAGCTGTCCTAGAACTCACTCCATAGACCAGGCTGGCCTCGAACTCAGAGATTCACCTGTCTCTGCCTCCCAAGAGCAAGGTTAAAGGCGTGAGCCACCGCCGCCTGCTTTTTCTATATGTTTTTACCTCACTGCTAACTGGCACATTAGTGGGCTTTCAGTTCTTTTGAGCCCCAGGACTAAAGTCCAGAGTCCTGTGCTGTCTCTTTAGACTCCCACTTGTGTTTCCAGGAGTGTTCAGCTAAACTGAGGTCAGGTGGCCGCCTGCTGTGCCCTCTGGGTTGACTCTGTGTTGTTCTTTCAAGTTTGCTTAAAGTACTGCCATACGCAGAGCTTTCTCCTGTAACTGCGTTTTATGGATCTGTATTCTGTGTCAAACTGTAATTATAAAGCTGAGAAATTAAGCTATTTATATTGCCAGATGTTATGATGTTTGTAAAGGTCAGTCTGGTGTGCATTCCAGGGGTCTAGATATAGGATGCAAAGTCTAGAACATACAGCCTTATAAAAAAATTTTTGGATGGGGTCTATTACTTTCTTCTACATGAGGAATAGACTGAAATATTCCAGTTAGAATACAAATTTCATGAAGGCACAGCATGATGTATATATGTATATACATATATATGCACACACAAACTATATATAGTTGTAGCATCTCTAGTACACATATTTAGACATAAAAAATACACAGTTCAATGTAAACTTCCATCTTAAGACACCTCATTACACACATGCAAATATTCCAAAATCCAAAAAGAAAAGTAAATGAAAAGTTCAAAACAGCAATGTTGCCAAACATTTGGATGAGGGATGCTCCAGCGGTGCTAATGTGAGCATTTACACGAAGTTGAGTCCTAAGGCTTAGATGACTGGTTTTCTCCATTCTGAGAAGTTTGCTGTGGTAAGGTAAGTGGCAAAAACCAGAGTCCTGCGTTTTGTTTTTGGAAGACAGTCCTCTATGTATGGCTAAAGAAAGCAAAATGTTGCTGGGCATGGTGGTGCACCTTTAGTCCCAGCACTGGGGAGACAGAGGCAGGTGGATCTCTGTGGTTGAGGTCAGCCTGGTCTACAGAGTGAGATGCAGGACAGTCAGATTTATATGGTGAGACTCCGCCAAATAAATAAATAAATAGACAGATAAATAAATAAACAGATAACAAACAAACAAGTAAATAAAGCAAAATGGCACCTAACTAGACTATTAGGGGCTGGAGAAACAGCTCGGAGGGTAAGGGCTCTTGCCACCAAGGCTGATGACCAAAGTTAGAGACCCAGGATACACACGGTGCTTTCAGAGAAAACCATCGACTCCCATATGCTGACCTCTGGTCCTCACCTCCACAAATAAAAATAAAAAGCTACAATAGAAAAATTTAAAAACTGAGGTATTATGATTAACTTTCTGGTTAAATGAGAGCTGAGTATGTCATGCTTCACTTCAGTTGTTAGGATCTTCTCAGTGACTTACTAGACTGGCGTGTTCCTCTGCATGTATCAGGGAAGAGCCTCGGAAATCGAACGCTCGCCTACTTGTAATGCCTTCTCAGCCTGTGCATGCTTCGCCAGTGCGAGGGGGTTAGAGTGCGCTACAACAGCTCTGCGGACCCTGAACGCAGGCGCAGGCGCAGGCGCAGGCGCAGTGCGTGTAGTTATTGCAGGCCTCCATAAGAAGTCCCGGGCAACTGCAGAAACCTGTTCCAGGGTCCTGTGTAGTTTGAGATGGCCTTCAACTGTCTATGTAGCTGAAGATGGCCTTGAATTTCTGACCCTCCTGTCTCTATCTCCCGATGGCTAGAATTACAGGTGCACCTTACTTAATAAATCTAGCTTGGTGTTTTGTTTTCGAGGTAGGGTCTCACAATGTAGCCCAGGCAGGTCTGGGACTCATTATGTAGCCCACATTTGCCTCAGACTCATGGCAATCCTCCTGCCTCAGTTTCCTAAGTGCTAGGATTATAGATGTGCATCATGGCCAGCAATGACTCTTCATTAGATCACTTAAAAACTAACACAATAGCAAATTTTAAAGCTTCGTCTAATATTTTATTCATCCTTCTATTTTTTCCTCCCAGATCATGAGTATCAGACAGCATTCTTTCAGATAACTGGAATTAGCCTGTGATTTTCCAAACTGTCATAACTGAGTCAGGTGGGGATGGGAAATCAGAGAATTGGGAAAATCAGAGTGCAGAGAAGAAACAGACAGGGTTTAAAATGAAGCAGTACCTTTCTTTTCATGTGCTTTTAATGACTTTAATGTTTTGAAATTTCAAATAATATTGAAGTAGGACTTATGCTGGAAAAGGGAGGCTGTAAAGGAATTTTTAGGAATCTCTAAAAATCAGAACGTTTTTGTCGCTAGACAAAAGCACATAGAGAAGGCGTTTAATGAATGCCCTGAAGAGAATCAATACCCCCAAGCCCCAAACCCACTTGGTCAAGACACACTGTGAAAACATCAACACTCTCTGGTGGGGTGTCTGGGGCCTGAACAGCATGACCAGCTACATTCTGAATGGAAAACTGAGCTATAAATCTCAAACACAGTGAGACGCTTTTGTACCTCTGAGCACAGAGATCTTCCTTCTGACATTCCGTGTTTCCAGCTGTTACCACCTCTGCAAACTTTCACAGAAAGGGCTATTTATTATCCCCTCTCCTCTCTGCATGCTGGTGTCTTCCATGCAATAAACAGAAAACTTGCAAACATGTTGAGGTGGGACTGCAATGACCCTCAAGTTCCTTTCTCCTTAGATAGGGAATCCAAAGACAGCTAAGATTTATAATGTTTTCATTTTTGTGTTAGTCCCAGAACCATAGACTCCATGACAATTCCTGCAGAGTATGTCATTTCCCATCGGCTCCTGGCTTGCAGATCAGCCCTAAGGCTTAGAGCCACCAGTTTCTATGGCTGGAGAGAGAGACTGTAAGAAAGCCTTGAGTACAGGCCCCTGACTCCGAGGCTCTACGTGCACACGGGGGATCACCTGGTCCAGGCAACACCTACCTCCAGCTTCAGAACATCATGCTGAAGTTTACGCTGAAATTCCAGGAAGTTTTTGATGGTGAGTTTCCCTTTGAGATCAGCTCCAAAAAAGTAGGTTGTGAGGGCCGAACACAAGCCAGACTTGAGGGTGTTCCCAGTGGTGGGACGATCTCTGTGACGCATGCCCATGCTGGTTTGGGAGCGAATGATGCTCTGAACCTGCGACAGAATCATATCACCGCCCTGAGACTCATTATGCCAGTGAAACACAAGAAAGGTTGCAACTGCACAACACAGCCATCTTAGGAGCTATGTCCTATTATCCCCATTTCATAGATGAAGAGACTGAGGCACACATATTTGAGTAGCGGCAGCAAGGAGGAGAGCCAGGATTCTGACTCAGGAAGCCTCCTGGAGAACTTGTCTTCAGAAAACAAGGATTTGTTTTGGGGTAGAGGTGGGGTACAGAACCTCTCATACAAGCAGGACATCCATCCTCACAGTAACATTGTATCTCAGGAGGTTTCAACACCCCACACTTCTCAATCCACTCTCTAGATGGGCTGTACAAAACTTCTTCTGTTTTAAATTACTTTATATTGCATGGGTGTTTGGCCGGCATATATGCTGGTGTATCACATGTGTGATGACGGTGCCCAGGGAGGCCAGAAGAGGGCCTTGGGATTCCCAAGGACCACAGTTATAGACGGTGGTGAGCCACCATGTGGGTGCGGGGACTGAATCCAGGTCCTCTAGAACAGCCAGTGCTCTTAACCACTGAGCCAATCTCTCCAGCCCCATCTGCAAAGTCTTGACATCTAAGTGTTTCAGAAGGACTTGTGGTATCCACGGTTGGTATGAAGGAAGAAGAGGCGGGGGATCTGTCCGTTTTGAGGACTAGCCAGGGCGGCCTCCACACGCAGGTGAGCTTTCTTAGGAAGACTGTGGCCGCCACAGCTCTCACTAGGGCCGCACTTACTGCTCACTCCCCACTGGCTAAGAATGCCAAAACAGGAAGTCGGCGTCACTCACCTGCTCAAACTCCTCCATGTCCACTTCTCCATCTCCATTCAAGTCAAACATCTTGAAAGCAATTTCAAAATTTCTCTGAGGAGCTGCAAGTAGAAAAGGAACAGAGGAAGAAAATGGAAAGAACACATAGGTCAAAAGTTAAATCACTTCAGAAAGATGGCTTAACACTAAAATAATACCCACACCATAAAGTGACAATGTTGAGATCGAGGCTTAATTCCTCAGAACCTCAAGAGGATTTTGTGGCCAGTAAAGACAGCAGTTGTCTGTTTGTGTATTTCAACCCTCTTTACATTTTTAAAAAATGATCATTTTATATGTATGGGTGTTTTGCCTGTATGTACACAACATGTGTGCAGTACCCGTGGATGCCAGAAGAGGGCATCGGATTCCCTGGGACTAGAGTTAACAGCTGGTTGTGAGCTGCCATGTAGGGGCTGGGAATCTAACCTGGGTCCTCTTCCAGAGCAGTCAGTAATCCTAACCACTGAGCCATCTCTCCTGCCCCAGAGCCCTTTTTCTTAAAACTTCAGCTTTGACTTTTTAAATGTCACACTATCAGCTGTACAATACTCTTTTTCACTTTTTGGTTGTTACTGGTTATACATGCTGAGCACGTACACCATGTTGTTTTGAACGCACTATTATTTACTGTGTGGAGAAAGTCTGTCTACCACGAGACACACTGCTGTAACGCAAGAATGTCAGAGTCTAGACCTTTGCTCTTGCCTTTAAACAAGCTAGCTTTCCACTCCGCTTTTCTAAGAGTCTGCCCTGTTCTATGTACGCGGTCTACTTTGACAGTTTCAAGCTGCCCCCTTCCATGAGTTTACTCATTACCACTGCTCTCTGGAAGGACAGAAAGGCATTCTGTAAGCCAGGCAGCCCCCACTCCAACATGCCAGCTGCATACACAAATTACTAAGTGGAGCATCCTTAAATGTCAAAGCTTAAAAAAAAGATAAAAATACACAAAGCTTGAGATGTTCATTCCCTTAAGTGATGATCAAAGCTCCTCCATCAGTCTTCAGTGTTCCAGAAGCAATCAATCTTCGACTAACAGACTTCATGTGTTGTAATGAAACATTAATTAATGGCTGTTCTCCTTCATGCTATTAAGTGTTCTGGTAAAGAAAACCAAGATAGTTACCACCCCTTCCTTTTGTGCTCCCAACTCACAGAGCTTTAGAGACAAAACCAAAATAAGTGTCCTATCTGTCCTAATACCACTAAATAAGTTTTCAGTTATCATCTTTACTAAAAAACCAAACCCATAAAACGTAAGGATTATACACAGACGGAGAAGCATGTCTGATGAGCTCTGTACACGCTGCATACTCAGAGCCCTTTAAACCCCCGTTGTGAGTCCGCGATAGCAGTGTTTCCTGGGTGCCAATTCTCCTTTCGGCCAGTCAGTGGCTATAAAGTTCCTGGCTTCAGCTGCCATGGGGAATCCTGGGCCCCTCAGCTTCCAATTGTCTGTTTCACTTGATGCTGGCATCCAAGAGATCTGTTCCTTCTCTGTTTCTTGGTCCTCTTGCCTCAGCCTCCCCAGTGCACCGCCATCCCTGGTCCTTACCTCCTCTTTAGGCCACAGCTACAATTGATGGGAAGGACACCGCTTGGAGAATTTGATTTTTATGTGTTTATTGGCACTTCTCTCTCTCTCTTTCTTTTTTTCTTCTTTCTTTCCTTTTTTCATATTTTTCAAGACAGAGTTTCTCTGTGTATCCTTGGCCGTCTTGGAACTTGCTCTGTAGACCAGGCTGGCCTCGAACTCACAGAGGTCTGCTTGCTTCTGACTCACAGCTTCAGGGATTACCGGCTAACTGGCACTTTTCAGAATTTTTTGCCTAATCTTTTACGAAGATATTAGTATATGTCAATCTCTTATTTATTTAGTTATTTAGAGACATGGTTTCATCTTGGAGTCCTGGCTGGCCTGTAACTCAATATGTAGACTAGGCTGGCCTCAAACTTACATAGATCCACCTGCCTCTGCTGGGATTAACGGCAGAAGCCACCATGCCCAGCGTGAGTCAAGCCTTAAGATGGATAACCTTATCTATTTATTGGTGGATTTCGTATCTACAATCTCACAGGTTTAGAGAACAAAACAAAACAGAGGGGACCAGAGAGATGGCTCAGAGAGTAAGAGCACTGGCTGCTCTTGTAGTAGACCTGAATTTCCTGCCCCCACATGATGGCTCATAACTGTCTGTAACTCCAGTTCTGGGGGATCTGAATTCTTCTTCTAGCCTCTGCCAGCACCTGGCTTGTAAATGGTGTATGGACATACAAACAGGCAAAACACACATACACATGAAATAAAAAAACAAACAAGGGGCTGGCGACTTAGCTCAGTGGTAGAGCGCTTGCCTAGCAAGTGCAAGGCCCTGGGTTCGGTCCTCAGCTCCGACAAAACAAACAAACAAAAAACGTGAAAAACCAAAAGTGACTGTCTGGGTGTGCAGGGTGCTGGGGCCGAATGCAGATTTGCTCCGCTGTGTATTGTGAAAGACGTCGAAGGTGGCTTTGATGACCAGGGCAAGCAGCAGCATTGGGCTAGCCCTCTGCAAGTGGCTACTGGGGGAAGACCGTGAGCTTCATTCACCTGGGTTTGGTGAAACTGAGTAAAACCTGAGCAAAGAGGAGCTGTTCCTGATGCCCTGCTGGCCTCTGACCCCTCTGCCAAGGTCGGCAACCTGCAGTCTATGGTGTGGGTACACAGGAAGGGAGGCAAGGATTCAGGTTAGATCACTTCTATCTGAAGGCTGGGATCATGCCTAACCCCAGATAAATATCAAAGCACTTTTCTCTGGCTCCTTTTCAAGGAATGTGATTGATATGTTCTCACTCCAACAGCTGAAGGACTGTTGACCCAGAATGACAAAGTCACTCCGGATGGCTTCCAGAAGGTGTCTGAGACCAGTCTTTGGTCTCTTTAATCTTGGTTTGTGAACTGGAACCTCTTCTTTGTCACAGGGTGAATCCCTCCCAGCTCTTCTGGGCCTTCCTCTCACAATGCAAAGGATCTGATTTCGGTCTTGAGGAGCAGCCAGCACCGCAGAGGCCAGGCAGTAACTAAGTAGCACACAGGCTTGGGAAGTAACTATGTCAAGGGCTGAGAGATGGACGAAGATGGGAAGACACTAATGAAAATTTTACCAAACCGTACTGGAACTGGAAAAGCCTGTTAGGATCACCATTCAAAAATCAGGTCACCTGAGCTGACGATGGCATTCTCCAAAGCATCCTGTACCTTCTGTACGTTTCAGGGTACATGGCTTCTGTATGATGATATGCATTTGTAGTAAACCGTAAGGCATGATTATCTCTCTTCCTACCTTTTGGAATGATCTCCAAGACTCTGTGCATAAGACACACACACACACACACACACACACACACACACACACACACACACACACGAGAAAGGATTGGCAAAGTGAAAGTACCAACTAAATACCCTCCAGAGTCATGGCCTGTCACGGTCGCCAGAGGCTTCCTGAAGTGCATGTGCTTACAGTGGTCTGTCACCCGGACTTGAGTAACAGGCACAACCTGAACTTCCTCCTAGCCCCAGCAAGAAGGGGCGCTGCCACTCTGGGTATAGTTCTACACAGTTTCTTTCCTTTACAATCATTTTCCTATATCTCTTACTTTATTTCCTGTCAGAATCTGAGCAGTCCCCACGTGGCCACCCATGTAGTCAATTCCAGGAGCAGAGTCTGCATGTGTGTGGGTCACACGCGTTATTTCTTCTCTTTAAAAGCATTTTGTTTTTTATCAGTATCAGGTGGTGGGGCCAACAGTGAGCCTTCTTTGGCATTGAAACAAAATGATAAAAATGGCTGGATATTTTCAATATAAATATAGCCACTTTTCTGCTTGAAATATTATGCTCAAAAAATGTTGAGTTCAAACAAACAAACAAACAAACAAACACACAAACACACAAACACACACACAAACCCACCCACCCAAAGGAATAAACCGAGACTCAAAGCAGTTAAATGTCCAGGTGAGAACCCCACAGCTGGCACGTGGCAGGCCTGGAGTGGGCTTGGACCACTGCTGACCCCGGCCTCCGAGCCTCACACTGTGATCCAGCAGGAACACAGAGCCGCTCATCAGGAACAGCACATTCTTTTTATGCTGAGATGTTCTGACCTGAAAACAAACAACAGAACACAGCTAGGGCGGTGTCAGTCTCTACAAGGCTAGGACGTCAAGGTGCTCACCTCTGTGAGACAGTCTCACAGAGAACCTGCAGACAGCTGCTTGGCAGGTTAGGCTTGGCTGTGTGAACACAGACCCACAGGCAACGTGAGACTCTCGGAGACGTGTGCCACGTCTTTCAACATTCTGAGGCTGAGCTCCACTGTCCCATCCTCCCCTGCTGTCCCACACTCGGCCCACTGCACTCACCTATGCTACCTGCCTGGTTTCTGTGATCCTGAGGGCTTAAGGACAGTGGACCCCACGGAGACCCGGGACAGTGGCACGATCGGGCATTTACAGAGGATCTGTCTGTTGAAGGGCGAGCTGCAAAAGCAGTCGCCTTCAGAGCACGTCACAGCAGCTCTTGTACGTGCTGAAGATGTGACCTGAGGTGACGGTAGTGCCAGTGGAGAGGAGCCGATGAACCTGAAGTGCCTGAGGAAGGCAGAAATTCTAGAACTCGATCATCAGTCAGCTGTGACGGGGTGAGCGTGAGAAGAGATGGCAGCGTGGCTGCCTTAGACGACTGAGTAACTTACGTGTCACTCAAATGAGGAAATAGAACACACGGAAAAGAGGGGGGGAGGAGATGAGACTGCTGCCCCTGGGATCTGCCCGATTCAGGGGCTCCAGGGCCCGTTCTGATGGAGATGTGGAGGGGACAGTGGGGATGTGGACTGCAGGCTGGAAGGTCAGAGCTGGGAGCTGCTGGGGTGTCACGTGGCTAGCTGCAAAGAGTCTGAAATGGAGCTGCCCCCCAAAGAACTGAGGGGGTAGAGGGAAGGGTGTGGAAGGGCAGGGAGCAGGTGTCTAAGGAGCAGGGGAACGGGAAAGCAGAAGCAGAGGAGAAACACCTCAT